TGCAAAAATCCCCCTCCCCCTAATTGCAATAAGGCCTTTCTTCCTTTGTAGTAATACAAGTCTCTTCTTATTGAATCTAGATTTGCTTTTTGTTTGTTTGTTTTTGTTTTGTTTTCTTTTGAGGGGGAGGTTTGGAGGTGCTGGAGATTGAACCCAGGGCTTTAGACATACTAAGCAAGCACTCTACCACTGAGCTATGTCTCCAGCCCCTTTTTATTAGTCTTTTATTTTTATTTTGAGACAGGATCTTGATAAGTTGCTCAGGGCCTTGCTATATTGCTGAGACTGGCCTTGAACCTTCAATCTTCCTGCCTCAGCCTCCCATGTCTCTGGGATTATAGGTGTGTGCTTCTGCACACAACATTAGAATGTTTTTATTTTTTTATTCATTACATATGTGTGTATCTATATGATCACCACAAAGTAACTACTACCTTTAAAAATCTGGAAATTGGCCAGGTGTGGTGGTGCAAACCTGTAATCCCACCTACTTAGGAGCCTGAGACAAGAGGATGGCAAATTCAAGGACAGCTTTGGCAACTTGGTGAGACCCTGCATCAAAATTTTCAAAAAAAAATTTTTTAAAGGGCTGGGGTGTAGTTCAGTGATAGAGTGCCGCCCCTGGGTCTGCAAAAACTACATATATATAAAGTTTAATAGCAAATGATGAAAGCCAAAATAATAATGGCATGCTATGGAAAAGCTGTGAGATGACCAAGAAGTTGTGCACTTACAATTACTCATAATTGCGATTTGTGGAACTAAATTTCTAGGACCTAGCAGGATGCTCAGTACATAGTAGACTTAGTAAGTCATGAAATGAATGTTGAGGGGGAGGTTTGGAGGTAATGAATGATGGAATGAATATTGCTGGCACTAACATGGGGCTATGCCCCTGAGTATGGCCATGAACTCCCTCTAGGTAAAGTGGGGCCACTTTCTTGGGAGAATACACAGGCCATATATCTCATCATTTCACCTCATAGTCGGGTGAGAAAGAGAAGGAGTTTAGTTGCTGTTTATTTGTCTTATTTTATTTTATTTTTTTGTGATGCTGGGGATTGAACCCAGGGCCTGTGCATGCAAGGTAAGCACTCCACCAACTGAGCTATATCCCCAGCCCAGTTGCTGTTTATTCTTTAGTTGATCATTTCTGACTCTGGGGGTTTTCTTTTTTGTTGTCGCTAATTTTGTTTTCTGTTTTGTTTTGCTAATTATTGTTACTTTGTGGTGCTGGGGATCAAACTCAGGGCCTCCAACATGATAGACATCTGCTCTACTACTGAGATACAACCCCAACCCCTAGCCCCCTGGTTTTTTTTTTGTTTTTTTTTTTTGTACTGGGTATTAAACCCAGGGACACTTAACTACTGATCCACATCCCCAGCCCCCTTTTGTATTTTATTAGAGACAGGGCCTTGCTGAATTTCTTAGGGCCTCGTGCAAAGTTGCTAAGGCTGGCTTGGAATTTGGGATCCTCCTACCTCAGCCTCTTGAGCTGCTAGGATCACAGGTGTGTGCCACCATGCCCAGCCTAGTCCAATTCTTTAAAGATGCCACAGCCTGGGCTTTCCTCTGGCCATGCCTGTCAGAAATAGGAGGTCCCCTTTGTTTTTTTGTTTTTTGTTTTTTTTTTTTGTTAAGAGAGAGTGAGAGAGGAGGGGGAGAGAGAGAGAGAGAGAGAGAGAGAGAGAGAGAGAGAGAGAGAGAGGGAGAGAATTTTTAATATTTTTTTTTAGTTCTCGGCAGACACAACATCTTTGTTGGTATGTGGTGCTGAGGATCGAACCCGGGCCGCACGCATGCCAAGCGAGCGCGCTACCGCTTGAGCCACATCCCCAGCCCAGGAGGTCCCCTTTGTTAACATGGATTCCCTTGAGATCTTGTCTGGTCTCCACCAGTTTCACTGGAATTTCTGTTCTCTGCTATGTTACTCTGATGCAGTCTGTGTGTGCATCAGTGTGCTGATCGCCTGCTGTCCTGGGCCTCACATTCCATTCCCTTTGTTCTCTAACACCTCTCTGCCTTTGCATAAGTCATTCCCTCGGTTCAGAATGCCCATCCTTGCAAACCTGTATTCATTCTCAAAACAGTCACTAATTGAATGAAGCATTTTTCCTACCTCCATTCAGATTGAATTATTCCAGCTGCCTGTGGTGTGTTCCTCTCACACAGTTCAGATCTCTTCATGTTATATTTAGTTCTATATATTAGTGTCTTCCTCTGCCAGGGGTAGGATGTTGCATGAGGGCAGGAACTGTATCTTATTTATTGTGTGCTCTGGCTCCTGGAATCTAATACAAGGTCTGGTACAAGTGGAGGTCAAGAGACAATGAATGATAGGGTGAACAAATGGATGGATGGATAATGGGTGTTGACTCTTTGTAGGCATCATAGATAGTTTCTAGGATATGCAGATGCCCAAGGGCAAGGTGAGTCAGTGAGGGCACAGCACATGTGAGCTGCCTGACTGCTTAATAAGCAATCAATGATTTGGCTAATGAGGATAGAGATAACGAGGCAATAAAATGGTAACTTAGGCTGACCCAGAGCCACAGCCACCCTCCTGCTTTCCAGTGAATCAGCTCTGGCTGGGCCTGAGGACAGGGATCATGGCTGAGAGGTAAATGGTCAGTAAGCAGTAGCTCAGCTGGCTCCAGACAGCCTGATCCTGGCCATGACTCATGCCAGCCAATGCTGTTGGCAAGAACCTGGCCTCTGGAATCACATGAGTCTCAGCTCAAATCTCAGCCCAGACAGTGAACAGCCCAGACCATGAGTAAGTTCCATACCCTGTCTGGGCCTGTTTCCTTCTCTTCCCTCCCTGAAACTAAGACACAGGTCTTACCCCAGGATAGTTATAATGGAGACACAGCCCCCCACCTTTGAAAAGCCTGTGATCTCATGGAGAAAGCAATATTATCCTTATATTGTTCCATAATTGTCTCTATTGTTTTGTTATATTCTTTATGTTCCTAGCACAAGACTTAGAGCTAGGGCACAGGGAACGACTCAAGGAATAAAGATGAGAAATGGGAGTGTAGCTCCCCATCCCCTTGAAGGGATAGGAAGAAATTTGAAAAGGAATGTGTTTTGTTGTGTAAATGTGTTTGGGTCTGCAGCGTGTTGTTGACCAAGTATATCTGAGCCATGATTTTCTGTGCTGTGTGGTGTGGATGGAGGGGTGTGTGTGTGTGTGTGTGTGTGTGTGTAAGTGTGTGTGTTTGAGAGACAAACAGAGACAGAGGGAGTTGAATGTCCGTGAAGATGTGTCTGAGTTATACACTCGAGTTGCGTGTATCTTTGTTATGATACAACATTTGGGGTCTGAACCATGTGTTTCTGTCTCTTTCTGGTGTCTGACTTATGTGCAGGCTGCTGAGCAAGAGATGGGGTGCCCTTGCTACTGGAACTAGGTACCCATACCCATAATGAGGACATGGCCAGTTCATTATGGTCCTAACCTGGGGTCTTAGAAAAAGGCTTGAATGAGCCAGGCACTGTGGTACATGCCCACAATCCCAGTGACTTGAGAGACTGAGGCAGGAGGATCACAAGTTCAAGACCAGCCTCAGCAACTTAGCAAGACCCTGTCTCAAAATAAAAAATATAGAGGGCTAGGGGCATAGAGTGCCCCTGAGCTCAATCCCCAGTACCAAAAAAAAAAAAAAAAAAAAAGGGAGAAAAAGAAAGAGGCCTGAATGATGACTCCTAGACTGTTGTCCCTGAGAGAATGACCTCTCTCAGTGAGCAATAATTAACTTGTACCCGTGAGAAGAATCCAAACTGTGGTGGTGATGGAGGTGGGGCCTGGTCAGGACAGACCTTACTGCTGGAGAAAGGAGGAGGCCTGAAAGTCCTATAGGCATTTGTGTTGTTATCATTACCTCCTGTCCACCCTTCAGGTCATTCACCCTGACCAGGGTGACCAGGTCAAAATATTTAACAAACATTGAGAAACAGATATTGACCAATTAGGACAGCCCCAAGCTGTGCTCTGAATGAAGCGGTGCTAGAGGCCATGGCTCAGCCTCTGGAGTGGCTAGACGATGGGAATGTCCAAGGGACATTGGACAGGACAGGACAGAGGGGCAGTAGAAGGGGACTGGTGGGTGGGTCAGGGCAGTGGCTGTGAACCAACTGTCATGAAAGTATTTCAAACTTAACAACAATGCCTGATCATACCACTGTGGCCAGCTAAACCTTGGCCTGCCCCAGCCTCCAAGCAGCTTCCAGGCCAGCCTAGGTGCCTCGTGCCCTTGCATTGGGAGGATAACGGACCACCCTCTTCTGTTGGCTACAGAAATGGGGGATGTGAATGATCCCAAACTCCCAAACTGCAGAAATCACAGTGACCTTGTCTGTTTCAATTTGAAATGGGCTACTTCCTTCATTACTTCGTTTCTTCTTTTTCTGACCCACCTCTCTTTCTGTCTTTGCTGCTGGGATTGAACCCAGGGCCTTCCATATGCCAAACACATGCTTTACCACTGAGCTACACCCCAGGCCACAGGGACGGCTTCACAACTGGCTGTGATCCGACTTTCCCTCGGATGAGAGGGAGCCTGGCAGGGAACAGGAGCCCCCGTGGTTTAGTGGAGGACCCGGGGATAGGAAAGAAACCCTCTCCTCCCAAAAGTAAAAGCAAGGAGGTAACGGTATTAAGAACTGATACTATCTCCTGGATTCAGATCCAGATGCCAAACAAATCTCATCCCCAGAAATGGAGTCACCATCCCAATGAAAAATTAATACCCCAGCTATCTGAGGCTTGACTCCTGGGCCCCTGTGTTTCCTTCCCTTGGGGTCCCTCTGGTAGGGGAAGGAAGGGGATCCAGAGGGAGCTGGTTCCTTTCAAATGTACAAACTACAGTGTCAGGCTCCAAGGGCATCACACCTTTTATTACAAAAAACAATAACTTAATTTAGCTCTGTACAAAGTCAGGAAGAATTCTGCCCCAGTGAGCAATCTAACTTCCAAACAGTCAAACTTCCAAACCATCCCCAGAGGGGACAGCATTCTTGGCCCAGAGGCTCTGGGGACCACCGAGGGCCTACCAGATGGCTGGAGTACTGTGTGCAAACTGTGGAAGTCCAAGTTGGGGTGTGGCTGAGTGAGCCTCCTAGGGGGCTGAGCGCTGTCTAGCAGGCTTTCCTCTCCAGGAGCGTTGACTCCCTGTTGGGGTCAGCCAGGCCAAATCAGCACTGCAAGCTTCTGCAGGTCACCTCAGCAAAAGCATGTCCTCGAGGAGTCCAGTGATGTCTACATCTCCAATGATAGGGCGAAAGAAGAGGTCCCCAAGAAGGCTGCATGGAATGCTCTTAAGAGTGGAGGCCGTGAGGAGGACCCGTGCCAACCGGCCTTGGCCTGCTGGGTACCAGGGCTCCAGGACTTCACACAGGGCCCAGTGAGCCTCCTGCTGCAGGTGCCCAATGTGGGAGGAGGCATGAAGGCCTGGCACATCTGCAGGAGGACAGAGTGAGAGGATTGGTGAGCACCCCATTCCCAGCCACCAAAGGAAGACGCTGGCCCAGAATCAGGCCACCAGCAAACACCCTTCTGCACCTCTCTCTCCCGCTTTTCTCTCCCCAACCTCAGTACTGGGGAGTGAACCCAGGGGCACTTAACCACTGAGCCACTTCCCCAGCTCTTTCTATCTTTTTTTTTTTTTTTTTTTTGAGACAAGTTCTTGCTAAGTTGCCTAGGTTGGCCTCAAACTTGTGATCCTCCTGACTCAGCTTCCCAAGAAACTTGCTCAAGTAAGTTTTCTTTTCTTTGGTGGCAAGGAAGGTGCTAGGGATTGAACCCAGGGCTCTGTGCGTATTAGGCAAGTGCTCTGCCACTGAACGACCCGCCTGTCCCTCGCTTCCTTTGCTCAGTCTTCCAGGCCCCACTCTACCACCTCCATAATTTAGTTTTTCATTTTACTCCCCATCCATTTATGGAGAGGCAGTATTAAGAACTAGACTGCCTCTGGCATCACTAAATAGCTGAGTAATCTTAGTCAACTGTGTCTTAGTTTCTTTCTTTCCCATTTTTTTTTTTTAATACTGGGGATTGAACCCAGGCCCTCAGGCATGCTAAGCAAACACTCTAACCACTGAGCCACATCCCCAGCTATTTTTATTTTTTATTTTGAGACAGAATCTCACTAAGTTGCCCAGGCTGGCCTTGAGTTTGCAATCCTGCTGCCTCAGTCTCCCAAATAGCTGGGATTTCAGGTGTGCATTAACATGCCCAGCCTGTAGTTCTTCATCTGTAAAGCGAGAATAATAGTACTTGTCTCAGCCAGAAGCAATGGTACACATCTATAATCCCAGCTCCTCTGGAGACTGAGGCAGAAAGATCCCAAGTTTGAAGCCAGCCTCAGCAACTTAGCATCTTAGCAAGGCCCTTAAGCAACTTAGCAAGACCCTATCTCAAAATAAAAAATCCAAAGGCCTTGGGGTGTATTAACCATCTCAGTAGTTAAGCATCCCTGGGCTCAATCCCCAGCACTTAAAAAAATATAATTCCACTCTGCTGGGCTTTTTATGAGGTTTAAATGAGCCAGTATATGTAAACCCTGAGATGAGGACCTAACATATGGTATGTGTAATATAAGGGTTCACTACTATTATTACAATAGTAATATGCATTATGGATGCCACAAAGGCCTTTGGGTGGGGAACTCCCACCCCATGCTCTGTCACTACCAAGAATACTCTGTTACTCTCCTGGCCTATTTTACAAAGATATCCTTTGTCCCTGGCTCCCCTTCATTCCTCTCCTCTGTGTGATCTTTCTGAACCCATAGAGGAGTTTCACTTTCAGAACTTCATCATGCAGTCTGCCCTTGAAGATATGACAGAGACACAGCTGTGCTGTGCTCCTCACCCCACATTCCCTAAGGGTCATAGCAGATTTCTCAGGAACAGTGGCAAGGGCCAGTCTCTGGAGTGTACAGACCTGAGTTCCCATCCCTGCTTGCCCCTACCTGGCTGTGGGACCTTCAGCTAGTCACTTAGCTTCTCTGTGCCTCTAATGTGAGGTGATAATTCCATGATACCGAGGACCCAATGTGATAGTGGATGTCAGGCCCTTAGAAGGTCCTTCCTTGGCTGGGCCCTGGCCCCTTCCTACCACAGTCCTCTTCCATGAGTGTCTGAGAGCTTACCTGGATTGAAGAGGATGGTTCCTTTCAGGTAGGCATACTCTTTGGGGCCCAGCTTGAGACTCCAGAAGGACTCTAGGCAGCACTGAAGCCACTGCACAGCAGCCAGTGAGGGCTGGGGCCTGTCGGGTGGCTGTCCCCAGCCAGCACTGCTACTGGGCTCCTCCAGCAGGATCTTCTTGAGTATGCTGGGCACTGGAGCTTCAGCCACCTCAAAGGTCACTGTGTCTTGGGCCAACCCAAGCAGAAAGAGAGAGCCCCAGCAGCCCTGTAGCAGCCGCCGCTGATCCTGCGGAGGGAGCTGGCAGAAGGAGGGCAGGTTCCTGAGGAAGGCCACTGTTTTGGCCAGGACATCCAAGGCCTCCCGGCAGGTGCGGTGGGGGGCACACAGGCGGACAGGCCGGTGCTGCAGGCACAGGCAGCGGCTTGGGGATGGGGGCACTGAGGGCCTGGGCCTGAGGCTGGGGCTCAGAAGTGTGTACAGAATGGTCGGGTGGCCTGCAGCGCCCTGGCACGGGCAGGCCCCTGGTTGGCTGGCGCTCATGGTTGGGGACCTGCTCCTATGTCTTCCCAGCTCTCTGGCCCTCTGTGCTGAGCTGTTGGTGTTATTTATACCGCCAAAGGGCGGGAGGGAGGATGGCCCGACAACCTTGACTCCAGAAGTCATGTTCATTGAAAAAAAACAAGGCGCGCGCACACACACTGACCCTGGCTGGACTGGGGAAGTGGCGGGGGAGGGGGAATCGGGAGCTCCACGTGGCATTGCTATCGCTTCAGTCAATGAAAGTGGCTGGTGCAGGGCACAGGGCTGCGGCCTGCTGGCCTGGCTGCCCCTTATCGGATGACTCAAGTGGATAAACAGGGTCATTAACCCAGGCTGTACCAGGGCACCAAGGCCTCAGGTGCACAATCAGCAGGTGGCTGTGACTGGTGTTTCTATTGGTGCCCACTCTTCTGTGTATACAAGACCACGGTTCTTTCTTTATATGTATATATATTGTAGTTGGACCCAATACCTTTATTTTATTTATTTTTATGTGGCGCTGAGGATTGAACCCAGCGCCTCAAACGTGCTAGTCAAGCATTCTACCGCTGAGCCACAAGCCCAGCCCCAAGACCAGGGTTCCTGCAGAGCCAGGAAGCCAGCCACAGAGCTGGACAAGCCTTGAATGCAAGGGCCACCCTGGAAGTGCCTTATCATTAGCTTGTTTGCATAACCTTGGGGGCCCTGCTCCTGTTGTGGCAAGGAACAGGTTGCAGGGAAAGCAGCCAGGACTCTGGGGGACTGGGAGGACTTTGTCCACTGTGCAGTTTAAGAGGTCCCCTTCCTCTGACTCCAGTTCTGGGCTCCTGCGGGAATAAAGTCCTTCAGAACTCTTTGTCCCAAGCCTGGATTCCTCCAACTCCTGAGAGGTTATGTCTGCTGAGAAACCCTCAGAGAATGATCATGAAATATGGTTGCCATTTACGGAGCACCTACTATGTGCCAGTCACTTTCTACAAGTATTGAGAGCTTCCTCGTGAGGCTAGATACTTACATTGTGAGACTCAAAGAGGTGAGGTGCCTTGCCTATGGTCACTCAAACACAAAGGGACAGAGCCCAGATTTGTCTGTCCCAAAGTTCTTTTTTGTTCCCCCAGATCCACTGGCCCAATTGTGCAGCCAAGGCCTGAGCTTCCCAGATCTGGTGGCTAGCTGCTCACTCCCTCCTGCCCTGCTGCGGCCTGCTCTGCAGATGCCCACCTGGGACCTGGACAGAAATGTTGCTTTGCTGCCCCATGGCTCCTCTGTCCTGGCATCTGTCTCAGACAGTAGGGTGTGGGGGAAAGGGGGACTTGGAGGTCCAGCCTGCTATATGCTGGGCAATCTGGTGCCCTGGATGGAGAGAGAGGCTCTGGCATCATCAGAGCTGGCATTTGCTCTTGGCTCCATCACTTCTCAGCCAGTTGTGTAACTTTGGGCTGATCCTTGGTCATCTGTCCATCTGTCTGTCCATCTGTGATCCTAAGACCTTCCTGCAGGGCTGTGTGAGGACAGAGCAAGGTTCTGGATGTCAAAGTAGTTCTGAAATGCAGAGTGGGGATTTAGCTTCCTACTGTTCTCTAGCTAAGGGCCAAGTACCCCAAGACAGGCAGACATGCGTTTTCATTTGTGAATGATTTGTGTGTGTGTGGGGGGGGGGCGGGTACTGGGGATTGAACCCAGGGGCACTTTACCACAGAGCAACATCCCCAACTCTTTTTATGCTTTTGAGACAGGATCGTACTAAATTGCTGAGGCTGGCCTCAAACTTGTGATCCTCCTGTCTCCACAGTAGCTGGGATTATAGACATGCTCCACCATGCCCAGCTTGATCCTTATATTTTTAAAGTTGCTGTCATGTCCCCTTTATTTCACTGAAGCTTCACAGCTTCCCCTCAAAGAAGACTCTGGAGTCAGATTGCCTGGGTCCAAATACTGCTTCTTCACTTAGCCGGATGTCCTTGAATAAGCCTCTTTTCTTTCTGTGGCTTGGTTTCCTGAGGCTGCCAAGTTGCTGTGATTATTAACATGTGCCACGATGCCCAGCTGGTTTCCTCATATTTAAAAGGGTGACAAGAAGCCAGGCATAGTGGCACACACCTGTAATCCAAGCAACTCAGGAGGCTGAGGCAGGAGTATTGCAAATTCAAAGCCAGCCTCAGCAATTTATCGAGGCCCTAAGCAATTTAGAGAGAGAAAAATTAAAAATTAAAAAGGCTGGGGATTTGGCTCAGTGGTAAAGTACTCCTGGGTTCAATTTCCAGTACAAGAAAACACACACACACACACAACACACACACACACACACACACACATGCACACACGTGAGCACATCCCCACACACACACACAAAAAAAACCCCACAACAACATAAAAACCCCATAAGCATCACAAATCCAAAATAACAAAATACTTTTACTATATTTACAATAGTGGTCTTAACAATTGACTGACAAAATGTGCCTACATGGTTTAACTGCATGTTCTTTGCTCCTCTCATTCTATTTCAGGTAGTGATCTGTTTGTTTTTATTTTGAAGCAATTGCAAACAGGAAAGTTGCAAGGAGAGTACAGGGCTTTGTTGTTTTGTTTTGTTTTGTTTTTCTCTGCATTGGGTATTGAACCCAGGGGTTCTCTTCCACTATGTTACATCCCCCTGCCCATTTTTGTTTTGACATGATCTGGCTAAATTGCTGAGGCTGACCTCCAATTTGTGATCCTCTTGCCTCATCCTCCCCAGTCTATGGGATTACAAATGTGCACCACTGCCTGGATATTTGGTATAATTCCTATCAAAAAAGAAAACTGGGGCTGGGATGGTGGCTCAGTGGCAGAGCACTTGCCTAGCATATGTGAGGCACTGGGTTGATTCTCAGCACCACATATAAATAAATGAATGAAATAAAGGTCCATCAACAGCTAAAAAATATTTAAAAAAATAAAATTGTGCAAGGAATATCTATGATTACATATGCCATATACTTTTTAGTTTTGTCTTTGTTTTTGTGGTGCTAGGGGAATCAAACCCAGGATCTCATGCACGCTAGGCAAACACTCTATCACTCTATCACAACCCCAGCCCTGCATATTCTTTATAAGAAGTTTCTATTTGAGTTGGGTGTCAATATGAAAGGGCAATTTACACATGTGATGAAGAATTTTGCACAGATTTGCATCTTGCTTCACACACATACTTTTTCTCTTCCACCACCCACATACTTTCAGATGACCTGGGAATCATTTGTATCAGGATAACACCCTGCACAGTGAGGGTCACGATATACAGTGACTGGTAGGAAATGTTCCTGAAAGCCCTCTGACACCAGAACAGACAGGAACAAAAGTGACTGCCAGCCACCTAACTAAATCCAAACTAAATGCATCTCTGATTTCCCCTTCACTGAATCTCCAAATCCTTATAGCTTCTCTGATTCAAGGGACAGTGGCATAGAGGTGGGAGCAGTAGTGGTCTTTTTTTTTTTAATTTATTTTTTAGTTCTCGGCAGACACATCTTTGTTTGTATGTGGTGCTGAGGATCGAACCCGGGCCGCACGCATGCCAGGCGAGCGCGCTACCGCTTGAGCCACATCCCCAGCCCAAGTAGTGGTCTTAACTAACTTGTAGTTTACAGAATTTATTTTTGCAAGTTAAAAAGTATTTGACCTGATGAAGATATTGCTGGGCTCTCTCAGTGCCTAGAATGAGCCAATGCAAGTATGGTCCCCTAAAATTGAAGCTTTGTGTGTTGTGTGTTGTGTGTGTGTGTATGGGGGGGGGGTGCTGGGGATTGAACCAGGGCCTTGCACAGGCTCAGCAAGAGCTCTATCACTGTGCTACAGCCCCCGTCCCAGCTTCTTTGGCTTCACAGCAGTCTGACCCCCACAGTACCTTTCCTTGGTGCCCATGAGGCTCACATGGGCGTCTGATAAACAAAGCACCTGGCATTTAGCAAGTGCTCCATGAGGGATGGCACTTGTCATCATCGTTGCTATCGCTCTCATTTTCTGGAAGAGGAAGTTGAGGAGGAAGACTCTCTCTTTTTTTTTTTTTAATATTTTATTTATTTTTTCTTAGTTCTCGGCGGACACAACATCTTCGTTTGTATGTGGTGCTGAGGATCGAACCCAGGCCGCACGCATGCCAGGCGAGCGCACTACCACCTGAGCCACATTCCCAGCCCCTTGGAGGAAGACTCTCTTTACTGGACTGGGGGTTTCATGTCTGGGACTTTTTTTTTCCAGCCTTGCTGGGGCTGCCTTTCCCTGACCCTGTGTGCTTGACAAACTCCTGGCAGCCTCGGTCTAGCTCAAATGTTACTTCTGTAGCACTGGGTTCATATCCGTCCTTTTTAACCTCCTGAGAAGAAGAAAGTTTTCTTTTCCTGGGTTCCCAGGTCACCTTGTCCACACCCAATAGTGCACCCAGCACATAGTGTCACGATCACCCACTTGTTTGCTGTGGGTAGTGTTCAAATGCAGATGCAATCAAAGGTCACCAGACTTTCCACCGAGAGGACTTCTTGGGCAACATCTAATATCTTGGTGAATTCAAGGCTCAAGATCAGGCTTTAGTCTCTTAGTGAAGAGTCACATTATAGAAATGCCTGAGATTGCTTTCTAAAATCAGAATGTCAGTTCAGGATGGTAGAACCCTAAGGAGAAGTGGGCAAGGAGTGCATTCTGGAGTCAGGCTGACTGGGTTAAATCCTGTCTCTTCCCTTTCAGCTGAGTGACCTTGGGTATGTAACTTCATTTTTCTTCCTTTCATTCTCAAATGAGATTCAAAACAGCATTCATATCATAGGAACATAGGAAGGGTGTTTTCAGCCAAATAAGTACTTAGTGCAGTACTGAATACTTAAGAACAAGTCAGTAAACTTTACTGACATTGTATACAATTGGTTAATGACATCAGGCAAAGACCATTTATTCATTCCCCAATTTTTTTTTGCGGGGGGAGTGTACCAGGGATTGAACACAGGGGCGCTTAACCACTGAGCCACATCCTCAGCCCTATGTTTTTTTTTTTTTTTAGACAGGGTCTTATTAAAAGTTGCTTAGGGACTCACTAAATTGCTAAGGCTGGCTTTGAACTTGCTATTTTTCTGCCTCAGCCTCCTGAGCCATTGGGATGACAGGCATGTGCCACTGAC